GTGGTAATTACAAAAAAAAAAATTTGGTCAAAAATGGGAGGGGGGGGGCCAGGCACCCCCCAGGCCCCGCCCCTGACTTGACATAGTGGTTTATTGTTCTGCAACTGTGGAAACAAGCTTATCTTTGGTGCATAATAGAAATTATTGACGAATGTGCACGTGTTCTAGTGGAGTTCCCCGGCAATTAATATTGCCTGGACGATTTCCTGGTAATGAGCTCTAGAAGTTGGAACACCAGAATGAATGCCTGTGAATCCTTTAAATTAGCTTCCTAAGCAGGTGACATGGTTAAATGAATACTTTTGTAGACATGTGTCCAGTTATACACCTCCAGTTTTGGATGATGTTGCAATAATTTTTCTCCCATTAATGTGATGATTCCTTTAATATTTCCTCTGGTTCCACTTTCAAAATCGAATCAAGAAATTTATACCTTTAATGGTCAATTTTCAATACAAAAATCGGTCCCTGGAGTGGTGCCACAAAAAAAACGAAGTTGGGATACATTTTTATTTATTAGATAATGTGATAGTGATCACAATGTTACATAGATAATGATTAGGGCCACTATCATATAGATAGGCGATCATAATCTCGTTCACCCAGTTTTCGACCTTTCCAATTTGACCAATTGATTCTGATTTCCAAAACATAGATTTTTTTTTTCTAGGTTTATATTGCCTTTGAAGGACCTCTTCTTGTGGTAAATACATAAAATAAGTAATTTAGCTATCTTTATGTTCTTGGAGGTCCTTGGCCCTCGAGACCATTGAGCCTCAACTTCTTGGACAATGTACAAAACTATACTTCAAAAACTTCATAATTTAAATAGAAATTGATGAGGAATTTATGTGATCCCATAGTTTCCACATGTCCCAATCTCAAGTCACCAAATAACTTTTTGTTCCATAATTAAAAATCCATGTCTATGCATGTAGAGTCAACTCAAGTATTAACCTACTTAGAATTATTCTAACAATAAAGAGCCGAAGATTTTTGTTGAATTTCGGTTATATTCAATGTTTAAAAAAAAAAAACAATAAAATAAAATAAAATTAGAATGAAAACTCGACTGGGATCCATCATATCAAACTATCAATTTTGAATTTCTATATCTTGTGTGGGATCCAATAACAACTATATTTTTCATTCTCATTCTATAATAATGAGAATCGAACAGACTCTTAATATGAATTTGTTGATAAGATCCAAGTTCTCTTGGCCCCATTAGTCCGTTTCTCTCATCTTCATACCAAGTCCTCCTCATTTAACATTTATTTGGACAATCTAATCGTTGAGAAGTAAGAACTTTAGTTCTATACTCATAAAATCTTAAAAAGAAAATTGGCACAATTAGAACATTTATAGAGGTTCACCTCAAGATTTATAAAGATTGATCTTCATACTTACTCCGCACAACAACAATAATTAAACTCCACAATTTAACATAATTAACACGGAACCCCAAGATCCGAGTTCCAAACACAATCTTCAATATATAAAATATTACTGATTTGTAAATGAATGTAGTTTGGAGTCGTCATCTCTCTTTTTTCTGACCCTAATTAATTACTACTCAGCATATATAAAGTACTTCTTGACTTTTCTTCCTACTCAGGCAAAATGTCATTATATTCGCGGAGAAATGATGAACAGCCAGGCTCCAGTGACACAAAAAAATCATGCTCTTCTTTATGAATTTCACCAACCTACTGTACAAGTGTTAGGGCCTTCATTTACTACCGATATGATACTGCCTGCAATATTTAAATGAAGCTTCTTCCCAAGGTGATTTCACACAAACAAACTTCTGAGTTAGCTTCAATGGCGAAATATCAGTTGTTAATTGCTCTCTTCTTCACTGTGGCTCTTGCAGACATTGAGCTCTCCACTAGCCATGTCCTCAAGGGATCAGTCACTTGCCTAGACTGTAATATCCACTATGATCTCTCAGGTATTACGTTGCAGACTGATTTTTTTTTTGTAATCTAATATGTATGGAGGAAACTTGAATCTAAGACTCTATTTGTATGCTCACTTTATCCAAAAGCTTTCTCGGAGGGTGACACGTTTATTTGTTTAAATCTTTAGTTGCTCTTAGGACTGTTGAACTCAACAGTAAGTAGATCATAAGAGAAAGAAAAGCGCTCATCCATCGTGTTGCCATGTCTTATCCAGTATAACATAACGAAAGACGCAACATAAGTTCTCTATTTTACTTTATTTTCTTTCTTTATGTTTCAGGCATTCAGGTGCTGGTGAAATGTGCCAATGTGAAAAAATTGGCTGCAGCATACACAGAAGAAGATGGCACTTTCGAGACCAAACTTCCCTCAGACTCCTCAGCTTCACCCAACTGTTTGGCCAAAATCATGGGAGGTCCACACCAGCTTTACACTCCAAGAAAGAATTCTGTGTCCACAATTGTTAAAGCAGATGGATCTGGCTACTACACTACACACAAATCTCTCAACTTCTATAAATCGTGCCCATTAGCCCTAAAGGACCAGGGGAAATGTGTAGCAGCCACAAATAAGGATTTTGGTGCATCCAAAACAGTGGATTTGCCTCTGCCAAGTGAATGGGGATTTGCACCAACTAGCTATTATTTTCCATATCTTCCCATAATAGGGATTCCTTAATCAATGAGTTATATTTAGTAAGCTGTTTGTTGTATCAAGAACTGCACTGTTGAGCAGATATAATCAAGACTATATGGATAGAGAGAGTGCTTTGTGTGTATAGAATGTATTAAGCTATAATAACTTGTTCTGCCATCTTACTATTATCATTTGAGTTTTTTTTTTCCCTGCTCATTTTTCTTGATATTTTATCATCCTAAGGCAAAATTTGGCACTAAGATTTTGAATTGTAGTCTTTGTACTGCTGTCTCTGATAACTTGAACCAACATTACTATTCTCAGTCCAATCCCTTGTTTAGGGAGAGTTTAAACAACATGGCTAGAGTTGAACTTTCGTACAAGGAATAACTTTTGAAAACACTGGTGACTAAAAACAAACGGACCATGCTACACTACCCAAGTTGGGTTTTAAAAGGGAGGTGCCAAATCACTTGGGCACTCCACTTTTGTCATGCTACTTGGGTAAAGTAGCATTATCCAAAACAATATGGTATGAAAATTTCAAAGAAATCTTACTATAGAAGCATAATTATTTATTATTATTACTATTATTATTATTATATAATCCAATAATTTTAGTATTTGGGTTACCCAATATATTTAACAATTGCTCTTTTCAAATTTACACAACCTACATATCCCATTAAGTAATAAACTTTAATTCTTGAGTTCAAAACCCATTTAAAACGATCGGTAGTGCATAGTGGTTGGTGAATAACAAGTTGGTGTGAACTGTTAATAGACATTAATTTTTATATTTGAAAGGTGTTATTTGTATGTTGTGATGATAAACTGAGATAGTGAGGTCACTGTCACATTATTTAATGAATGAAAATGTGTCATCACTTCATTGCAATTATTGTTCATTGACACGGCTTACGAGTCTCTTTGTATGTTGTATTGTATTATGACATCTCATTTTAAATGTTAATTCAATAATCTGAACTCTATTTTGTACTAGAGCAGTGTTCTAAAAGGCGCATCTAGACATTGTCAAGACGCTACCTAGGCGAGATACATGACTTGACTTGGTGCCTTATTTAGCGATCAACGATTGTTGACTACTAATGCGCCTAGACGCAATTATTATCTTTTTTTTTTTTTTGTTGGAAACTTTTGAATAAAATTATTTATAAATTTGTTTTAAATGTTTGATATGTATTATTTTTAATTATTAAATGAT